CGGCAGCTTTCAGGCCTCGCGCTGGGCCAGTCCCTTTTGGGTGGACTTTGGCCCGCGAGGGGATGGTACCTTCAGGTGTTTGATTTAGACATTACATTCTTTGTCTTCCGTGCTGTAGCCTCACTGCGTTAAAGTTCCTTTTCCTTAAAGTCTTGCGTGTTTTGTCTTGGTGCGGCGGATGGCAGAACCTATTTAGAGCAGGCGGTTTGGGGGTTCAGTGGTGCCCCCCTCTCCCTGCCCTGTAACAAGATGAGTTGCAGACAGGAAAAAATGGACTCCTGCCTGGAGTTACATAGACTTCGAAAGCGAATCAGCCTGGCATTAGAGCCTGAGGGCAGCCCCTGGAACAATGCAGAAAACCCCTGCCAGTTACCGAGGCGGCTGTCTGCCAGGTGCCTGGCTGAGCACTGTAGGCGCGTTATTCATGTCTTCACGATCACTCTGAGGTAGAGATCATTTTACTCCTATTTTACAGATGGGGGAATCAGGTCACCCAAGGTTGTATTAGTTGCCGAAGTCGCGAAGCCAGTGAGGCTTCGAGGTGCGTTGGAATGCAGGTCTGCCGGTCTCCAGAGCCTGGATGCCTGAAGTTGGGGTGCTCAGAAAACTGTTACATCCCAACTCCCCACCAGAGTGCCAGACACGAGCTCCGTTGGCAGGTGCACCAGAGAGCCGGTGCGGGTGGCGGAAACTCGGCCTCAGCGGAACATCTTAGAACCTGTTTTTTCTATACTCTGAAGTCGTCCTTGTTAACAGACACAGGGCTGATGAGGAACTTCCCGAGAGTCAAGTGTGCTTTGAAAAGAACTGCACAGCTGCCTGTGTCTCCTGGCGAGTGAGGCAGGTCCTGCCTGCCCAGCCCGTGTGACAATCCCTGTTCCGGACAAAGTGCAGAGGCAGTGTGCAGTCGTCAGGATGGGTGAAATCTGGCAAGGAAATCACCAGAGCAGGCTGCAGGAAGGGCTTGCTCAAGGAGGGGCAGCAAGGCAGAAATTGTAGTGACGCTGGAAGAGGCGAGGCAGGCATCTACGCCTAGGACATGGGGGGTCGGCGGCCTCCGTCCACGCCAGGTTATCACCGTGGCCGTGGGAAACACATTTTGCCAGGCGGTAACCTGGGAGCCGCTGGGGCAGGGCAGGTCCCGACTGGTGGCACCGCGGGCTGCCAGCCTCGTTTTGCTGGGCCTGCTTCTGGAGGGACGAGTTGCCTCTTGACGGCCAAAGGTCGGTAGATTCCCGGGGTCCTGAGCTGCCCTTTATGTTCACAAACACACTTTTGGGACTCGTGCACGTAGTTCCGTGGTTCTGACTTGGGAACATCTATTGTCATAACCTGAAAATAGGTGCCAGTTACCAGACTCCCAGAGCGGCCTCTGCTGCATCTCAGGTGTCTGCTGAGACTGAGGGGTGTGCAGGGGTCAGCCGCTACGCTACGTGGGTGACGTCTTGCACCCCCTGCTGGCCAGGCAGAGCCTTCCCTGGACAGTGGCCATGGAGCCAAAAGCCAGGGGACACCAGGGCCTATAGCAGTCGGGGCTGGACTGGCCTCTGGCCACATCTGCCAGAGCCAGTCTCCAAACTCAAACCCAAGGGAGGCAGGCACCCCCTTTCAGGGAGAAGAGCCCCAAAGGCACCCTGTGGCAAAGGGCGTGGACACCGGGAGGTGTGATCTGCCAGGCCAGTGATGTAGCCTAAATAATAGTGCGAGCAGCAACTTTCCACATTCTTGCCGTGGCCAGGCCGGCGTGGCTGTGGTGCCAGCTAACCCTTTAGCTTCTTCTCTGAGTCAGACTCAACTTCTGAGCGTGTAACCCGGTGTGGTTCACTTGGCGCTCAGAGCAGCACCCTCGTTGGGGTCTGCGATTATTCCCCTCTACATCCCGGAAGTGGGCGGAGAGGGTTAGCGTGTCGTCGGGGCCGGGCAGCCGCAGGCCAAAGCCAGGCAGCGGGTTCCAGACCCAGCCCTGAACTCTGGGCCGCACCTCCGCGGTCACCGTCTGTACTTTTTGGAGGTCCAGGTCACTTGGGTTGGGTCTGTGTCTAAGGCCAGCAGTTGACGTGAGGTTGGTCTCCCAGCCCACGGGCCCGCAGTCTTCTGACTTTGCTGCGGCTGGCTCTGTCCTATTTACTGACCTCGCGGCTCTGTCCTATTTACTGACCTCGCTGTGATTAAAAGCCTAAGACTCCAGGATAAGACGGAAACCACCGTCTCTGGGCTGGTCGGTGCTCTCCGGTCCTGCCTTTCCTCGCTCCTTGCCAGCGTCTGAGGCTGTGAGCTAAATGTAAAAATGTTCCTCTTCCACTTGTTGATGAATATTCCTTGAAAAAATGAGTTTCTGTATACGTAGCCCTAAGAGAAACACTGCTGCCAGACACTCATCAGGAGGCTTTGTGTTTTAGGAAAGGTTAATTAAGACCCATCGAGTTTTTTTCCGATTAAATATTCAAATAAAATAATGTAATGCGCTATTTTTTCCCCCTCTCCTCCCAGAGGGCAGATGTAAGTGTTCTCCCTAAATGAAGCTATTTATTTAAATCCATCCAGATTTCGTTTGAAGTTTCGTACATCTTTCTTCTGCCGTATCAGCTTATGGCTACAATAATTTAATAAGTTTTTCCTCGGGTGAAATTGGATGCCCTTTATCGATCTTACACGGAAGGGGTATTCAATTACTTAATCTAAAGTGGGATTTCTGGGTCTCTCAATTACGACTTTGTTGCAAATGGCTTGCTAATGACGCTGGGGTGCAGAGGTTAATAGGGGCAGCCTGCGCAGAGCTGGGTAATTGAACGCTTCTATTTTGGGGCCAGTTATGCGATCTCTCACGGTGGTACCAGGTTCCCACAATTACGGCCCTCACAGCGGACAGCGTGGAGCCGGGCGGGGAAGTGCCCCGCGGGGGTGTACCCCAGCCCCTGGTCAACGCCGGACGGGGCGCCCCTCGGTGCCGCCTCTCTGCCTGGACTGGCACCAATGGGCATTCCAGACAGGTGGGGTGCAGGGGCCTGGTGCTCTTTAAAGACGAACAAGCTGAGTGTTGGCTCTGCAAGTGTGTTCTGGGGATGGTTTAGGCCCGGCCGGGGCATGGCAGAGCCTGAGCTTTTCGGCTCAGGCGCTCATGTGATCTTTCGTCCCTGGGCTGTGTTAGTTGCCGGTTTCACCTGTGGTAAAGATCCCTTTGGGAGAATAGATGGCGTGGTGCTTCTCGCCCTTGGACAAGTCCAAGCTTTGACTGCGGCCGCCAGGCCCTGTGGAGGCTTCTCTGGGTCCCCACTCACCCCAGAGTCTGGGGCTCCACCCGCCCTGTGTTTCCCCAGTGTCTCTTCGCTGGGTCTTTCCTCTCCTGGTTCCTCACACCGCTGGCGTCCTGTCGTCACCCTAGTTCCCCTCCTAAGCGAGATCTTCCCCAGAGGTCCTGAGCAAACTTACTCCTTTCTGTGAGCCTGGCGTGTGTTGACTAGAACAATGAATGAATGAATTGCAGGAGATAATCTCACAGTACCTCCAGGTGTTTTTCAAAAGTTTGAAAGACATTTGGGGTGGCCCCCAGCTCTACGTTCCTGCGGTATGTTCAAGGAGGAAGACAGGGAGTGGCAGTTCTGGCCGGAGGCCGCAGCCTGCCCGGGGCCTGGCCGTCCGTCCACCTATCTGTCCATCTGTCCATCTGCCCAAGGTCTGTGCTGAGGCTGTCAGGTTTTCTTGGTGACTTTGCTGGTAACAAGAAACCTTTGTTCTTGGTTAGGAATGTTTTTCCCATTCTGTTGGGTCCAGATTTTGTACATTCTTGTCTTGGAACTTCAAAGACAATGTTTTCTGGAAAAATGGCAATTGCTGCTCTCAGCTAGGAGGACGGAGGGTGCGAACTGGCCCCCGCTGCGGTCCTGGCTGGCGCCCCACTGTTGACCCCAGCTGGCCTCGTGTCAGACGAGCTAAGGAATGTTTTCTTGGCTTTCGCTGTGGGGCTTCCAGCTTGGGGCTGCCTTCTTGTTGTTTGTACCAAGCGATGGGTCAGGGGTGGCTGAGCAAAGTCAGGGCCAGGCTGAGCCCAGAGGTCACTGGCCACTGACGGCACCCTGCTGGCCCGGATTCCAGGCACGGCCCTGCCTGCCCCCAGCTGCTCAGCCTCCCTGACCGGCGCATCCCACACCAGTCCATGCTGCGCTCGTGGGAATTCTGTGACCCGGCGTGTTCTGGAGTGTTCTGTGCTTATGTGGCTTGTTCAGGGTTACTCCACCGCGCCGAGCTCTCCTACTCCATCGGAATCTGCCTCCTTTTCCGGTCCTTGTTTGTTTGTTTTAACAGCATGTACAGAGAAGTGTCATTTGGGCAACAACACATCTTACAGCCACTGGCTCTGTGAATGGGTTTGTTGGAATCGTGTCTCCACCGGGAGGATGACAGTGAAAACGATTTCAGGGTCCGAAGTGTTGGGTTAGTCGGGGAGACGCTGCACACTGGAAGTAACTGTTTACTAACTTAAAGTCACGTGGGTATTTTTTAAGGGAAAGAGAATCACTTCGGTGTTTCTAGATGTTCGGTAACTCTCACTTCCTCAACTGAGGACGGCGGTCACCTGCTCCCATCCTAACCGTGTGTCTTCTCGGAGTTTTTGTTGGCTTAAAAGTGCCGCTGTTTCGATCCAGCCCTCACATTCATTGTGACGGAGGAGCCTGAGAATGTGTGGGTCTGAGAATGATGGAGGAAAGCGGGTGGGGGCCCAGGAGGCTGGGCGTCACAGCGGGTGTTCTAGGAGCTGTTTGAGGGGGGGCTGCTGGTACTGGTGCGGGGGTCACGTTTGGTGGAGAGCCAGACCCCAAAGATAAGCACCCAGAAGGACCCCAAGACTTCCCTCCTGACTGTGTAAGGGGGTCTCTCTGTGACCCTCACACACATGGCTGGACGTAGAAGCAGCAGGGAGATGCGTGTCCCTCCATGAAGGTGAGCCCTGGACAACTGCTACCTCACGTCTTGTAATACAACCTCTTTTCTTGGCTGTTTAGGAATCTGACCTTGTGACGAGTTTGCTCGCCCCCTGCCCCCCAGAGGAGACTTTTGAGAGGAGCCTGGCATGTCCAAGAAGAGGTCTCTAGGGGCGTCTCCATGGGTGACATGCTCGGCCAGCCCTCGCCCAGATGACCGTGATGGCCTCTGACCTCCCCCGTGTTTGTGTGTTCTCCGGCCAGAACTCCCCCGCGTCCTTGTGCACCATGGGAAAAACCTGAGGGGCTGGCGGACCTGCTTGGCACCTGTGTATTCTCCCAGGTTGCAGTGGCTCCTACAGGACAGGACACTCGGAGACCACGCCCCTTTGCTGTCCTTCAGGCGACCAAAGAAGGTGCTCCTGCCCCTCCACAGCTTGGGCGCCTGTGACCCCCTCCTGACCACTTCGCTGGTCACCAGACTTCCTTGCCGCGCCCCAGCCGCACTCGCCTGCGTCCGGAATCCTGGGGCCTCGCCCATGGCTCGGGGGGCCGGCAGAGCTGCCCGGGCGTCACCATGAGGCCCTGCATGAACTGCAGCCAGCAGCTGTCACCCGGCACTGCCCAGAGACCACGGGTGTGCTGCCCAGGGCTTCCCCACCACAGTTGCCACGAGTGCCCCGGAGAAAACAAAATCGTGTTCCGCGTGGACGGTAAGCAGATGAACTTGCTGGCCGTTCTCGAAGTGAGGGCTGAAGCCAACGAGAGCTGGGGCGGGTTTCTGCGCCTCAAGAAGGGGAAGCGATGTAGCCTCGTCTTTGGGTTGATCATAATGACCCTGGTGATGGCCTCCTACATCCTCTCCGGGGCACACCAAGAACTGCTCCTCTCGTCCCCTTTCCGTTACGGCGCCTTCCCCAGCAGTCCGAGCGTGATGGACAGCGAGAGCCCCAGCGACTCCCAGGAGCATCACCAGCCCTCCGTCAGCAACGTCTCCTACGTGAAGGACTACGCCAGCATCAAGCTGACCATCAACAGCATCGCGGCCAGGATTGAGTTCACCACCAGACGGCTGCCTGACGTGGGCGACCTCAGAAAGCAGGAGTCCCACGTGAGTAGCCTTGCGCCGAGCTGGCCTGACTGATTTAAGGAAAATGAGCCGACGTGTTTCCTTTTCTACCAACTTCGGGCAATCGGAAGAAAGTGGTGCGACCCCGTCAAGAGCAGCGGGGTAGCGACCCGACAGTCTGCCGATGGGTGTCCCGAAGCCGGCGCCCCGCCCCTCACGGAGGGATGTGGCGGCCGCGGCCGGCTCCCGATGCTGGACGCCTGTCCCGGGCCTGAGAGCGGCTGTCTGTGTGCATCTCCGTGGTCCTGCTGTGGTTCTCCCTAACAGTGGCTTTTGCCCCGGTGGCCAGTCAGCCAGAGTCCCACTGGTGATCGCCAGGAGATTGCGGGCTTGTCGGCTGCGCATGGGAGGGTGACTTCTCACCGGGCTTTGCTTCATTCCGCCATAGCTTGTATGTTGGCTAAGGCAGACAGCCCTGGGCCACTTCCGGGCCTTGCCGGCATTTCCACCTCGCGGTCCCCGCCGGCACCCGGCAGCCGGGCTGGGGAGCCCCCTTTTTGCTCATTTCCCCCTCCGTGTGCCCCCCCTTTTCTCTCTCGTTGCAGATGTTTTCAGTCATCCCCAATAAATTTCTTCCAAATAGTAAGAGCCCCTGCTGGTACGAGGAGTTCACGGGCAGGAACACCACCGACCCGTACCTGACCAACTCGTACGCGCTCTACTCGCGGCGCTTCCGCTCCACCTTCGACGCGCTGCGCAAGGCCTTCTGGGCGCACCTGTCCCACGCGCACGGCCGCCACTTCCGCCTGCGCTGCCTGCCGCGCTTCTACATCATCGGGCAGCCCAAGTGCGGCACCACCGACCTCTACGACCGCCTCCGGCTGCACCCGGAGGTGAAGTTCTCGGCCATCAAAGAGCCGCACTGGTGGACGCGCAAGCGGTTTGGTGAGTGACCGCGGCCGCGTGCGTTGGGGTGGTGTCACTGCCCCCAGCTCCGCTCGCTGCCTGCGCGCCTCAGGGTGAGGTCGCCTGGGGACCCCCGAGGGCGCCAGGGGCCTGCGGCTGGGCCCGCAGGGGATCTGGGAAGGGCGGGCGGCGGGACTGAGCGGGGAGTAGCTGTCTAAGGTCCCGCGGGCGCGCAGACACCCGCGGAGGCAGGACACAGCCTTTAGCCATCGGTGAGCATTATTGTGCCAGCGGTGTGCACAGCTGCGGCTGGGTGCAGACTTGGAAGCTCCTGTAGGCCCGGACCAGGGGCCGGTGGGGAGTGGTACCGGGGGCCGGGTGGACGTGGGTGTGGCTGTCGGGTGCATAGTTCTGTGCTCTTCCCGCCGGACTAGACAGTAGAAAAACCTCGTCGCTGCCTGCTCGCCCAGCCCAGGGCCTGTGTGCCCATCCCTGTGTTAATTTGCACCTCATTTTTTCCGCCTGCCCACACAGATATTTCTGGGCAACCCTGCTTCTGGGGCCCCTGTCCCACGGGCCCTCCCGCCCGCCGCCCACCGGCTGGTTTCGGCCCATTTCACCAAGCCACCTGCCATCCTCCGGTCACTCTTTCCTCGCCTTGACCTTTCCTTTCTGCCAGAGTCTGTGTTGGCGGCGGGAGCTGAGTGATGACCAATTCTAAAGTCCAGCGGGCATCCAGGGCGTGGTCTGTGGGAAGGGCCGAAAGGACTTAGAAGGGAACCGTAGACGATCTCCTTAGCCTAGGCTGAGTCCAGCCCACCCTGGGTGCGTTTCCTGACGAGGGTGGATTTGATCCCTCAGTGTCTCCTGGAGTGAGCAGGCGGCAGACGTGACTGGCAGCGGTGGCCGTGGGGGCTGGCGGCTTCATCTCCTTCCTCGTTTGTCAGGTGTCGCCCCAGACCCAGCTCTCCAGTTTCCTGATCAGAACCAGGTCCCGCAGGTGGGGCTGAGGGAGGGGCAGGACGCGTCTCTAAGTGGTGTCCAGCTGGCCTCTGGACCCTGCCTCAGGGGCTTGGCCACAGATGTCCTCTGTGTTCCTGATGCCCTCGGGAGCTGTGGTTTGGGGCACTGTGTGGTTAATATGTTTGCAAGCAAAATTTACCCACTTGTAAGGCAAGTTCAGGCTGCCTGTGGCCAGTGCCACATGCCAGGACAGCTAGTGAGAGTCTGCTCAGGGGCCCACATGTCCCCTGTAGTTTGGACAGAAGGGCCAGCTGCTTGAGGGGACAGGCCAGGGGTTAGAAGTTCAGGAAGGTGCTGGGGGCCTGGAGCTCAGAGGATGTCGCTCCTCCGGGCCGGTGGTCTTTCCCTGATTCTGTTTGACAAGAGGTGTGTCTTGGATGCCATGGCTGCTGGCCACATCAGGTCTCACCTGGCATGGCGCCCCTGTGACCCAGCCCCCAAGTCTGGCCTCCGGGTAGATGCACTGCCGTTCTCGAGCAGCCGGCTTCCTCAGCTGGCTGCCGCTTAGTGGCATGCTGTTTCCCCGCCTCGAAGCTACGGTCAGTTAAGGAGGGCAGGGGGTGCCTCGCCCCTCCCTGCAGGTGCGCTACCTGGGTCACCCTTTGCTGCTGCAGCTGGACGCTGGGATCTTTCCATCTCACTCCGTCCACGCCAGCGTCGCCTGTGCTTTCTTGTCCTCGTAGGAATTGTCCGCCTGAGAGATGGGCTGCGGGACCGCTACCCTGTAGAAGACTATCTGGACCTCTTTGATCTGGCCGCACACCAGATCCATCAAGGACTGCAGGCCAGCTCTGAGAAGGAGCAGAGCAAGATGAATAAAATCATCATCGGTAAGCCTTCCAGGCCTCCGCAGCTCCAGGGAGGACCTGGCTCCCCCCACCCCGGGGCAGGTCCTAGGCCGGCAGGGCGAGACGCCTCCCTTACCCCTGCGCCACGCAGCCGCCCCGTGTGGCTTCTGTAGAGCAGAAGCAGCTGGTAGCTGTTTCAGTTCCGTGGAGACTCAAGTGTGGCTGAGGTGACCTAAAGTCGCCACTTCCTTGTTTTTATTTGAGTCAAGCAGGTGGCTCGCTTTCTGCTGATAGCTGGGTCCGAGGAGTTTGGGCGGGGACGTAGGTGCTGTTAACCGGCCGTCATCGGTGACCTGTGGCCTGTAGTCCCGGCTGCTGGACGGGAAGAACAGAGGCGGCTTCTCCTGAAACCGACGCCTCCCGGCCCGTCCGTGGTAACTAACTGGTATTGAAAAAGCCCAGCCTTGGTCGACCTCAGGCCTTTAGACTTCCAGAACGAGCTGGCTTGACAAATAATCATTTGTTTTAAAAATTCACAGAATGTTTTATGAAAAACCTATTATTTGCTCTCCGTATTGGATTCAGCTTATAAGACATTCATCTGCTTACACCTTCTGAAAGTGAGAAATCGAATCACTTATTTTGTTTAAATTGATTACTGAGGCCACCCTCCATTTTTTTATTTTCCTAAATCTATTATATTTTGATTCCGCGAGTTTTGTGAATCTGTTAGCAACTAGGCAGGAATCAACCATTTGAGAGATGATTCTTTGCTCATGACTCCTGGCTAAGCCCTTGTCCGTTCGTTCGTTCATTCATTCATTTTTAGCCCAAAGAAATCAAGTCCCGAGGCAAGAGAAGGCCACCCCCCCGCCCCCCCACCCCTCCCGTCTGTGTGGACTGGCCAGTGGCTGTTTTCTTACAACATTGGCTCTAAGCCACACGGCTCAGTCATATCTACCCGTGGCCCCCACATTGCCAGCCTCTGGGAAAGCTTCGCACTCTCATGAAGGAGCTAAAAGTGCGTGTCCCAGGGCAGGAAGCGGAGCCTAAGATGATAAATGAACCAGGAACACCTGCGTCGGCTTCCTGACTTCCCAC